CTGCATATGAAATTTTACCACCAACAAGATATTCCTTTCCACCTTCCAATGCTCTTTCAAAGAATTGCAATAATTTTGGTAATTTCTCCTTCAAAATGATTTGAATCTTTTGCTCGATACTTTCATTGGTGATTTCAGAAGAAACTGGATATGAGGCAGTAAAGGCCGATCTCAATAAAACATTCAAATCCAAAATTCCTTCATAATATTGATCAATGAGACTTTCCTCAACGAGATCTTTACCAGCCAATCCAAATTTCTTACCCAAATATCTAACAATTGAAGATGATTGGACAAGTAAGATTTGATCATCTTGATAACTTGGAAGTGAGTCAAAAGCAAGAGTTTTACTTTCTACAAGTTGTTTAAAAGCATCGGATTTTTCAGTTGGATGCCAAACTCCAACATTGACTTCATCATAATCAACTCCTACTCATCAAATTATTTACAATTTTAATTAATATTAAATAAATATTAAATAATATTAAATAATATTAAAATTGTAATAATGATCATCCACACTTACCACAATCAGCAAGAATAATTCTAATCAACTCTGATTTCCCTCTCGAGCTGAAATAAGTGAGTATTGGCTTGGACATTTTTTTCTTCTTGTTTTCATTGTATTGAGAAGCCTTTCATCTATTGTGTTTAAATATTGGAAATGCTCTTCAATAAGATGAAGAAAGTTGATTCAGAGAGGACGCAATATTTGATATTCCTTTCAATAGAATTCTATAGAAAAAAGCGCCTTTTGTTACCGTTTAACAATTAAAACAAAAATCATGAAGATCCGAAGTGAAACAAATTGCATAGATTATCAACAAGAACATTGACTAAGGGAATGTAGGGAATGTAACACTGGCCTCAGCATTGGCGACACCATCACTCTTAACAGTTAAACACTTGGTATAGATTAGCTTGATAATTTCCTTCAGAACATTTCTATTGTTGCTAATATAACCATTGTTATATCCAATGAGTAGGCCAATCATCAACACAACAGAAATAATTGAGATGGTAATTGAATAAAAAAAATTGTATTAATCTTTCTCTTTTCCTTGTGAAAAGTTAACTATGAATTGTTTGGGTTTTTTTTTTTTTGATTCGAGGAGTTTAAGAGTTGAGGAATGCTGTAAAACAACTTACAACGATGCGTGCGTATTGATTATTTCTTATGGAATCGATGGAATCCGTTTCCATTCTCAAGTTCATGTTGGAATCATGATGCGATTTTCCAGTCGAAATGATTATCAATTTTGTAAAATCAAAATGTACTGGAACGGGTTTACAATAGAGTTAATACTAAATCCGTCGGAAAAAAAATGTCAAAGAGGTATTCGAATAATTCGTCATCATCGAATGCATCATCGATGTCTTCTTCTTCACCAAGAACAATATTCGAAACAAGTGTTGGTGGATCCGCCAACACTAAACAATTTTCCTCTTCACCGACGCAATTAGTTTTAAATGTTTCGAATGACATTTCGAATAATACAACATCTTCGGATAATCAAGAAATTAATACAACAATAACAAATTCATCATCGGAAACACTTCAGGAATGG